TTAAATGGTTTGTAGATCACTTATTATGCATCTTCCAGTGAAGGTTCGTTGTCACCAGCCATCCAGAGCAATAAAGGCATCAAAGTACATCAGAGAGATAGCTTTGGTGCATGTGTTCGTGTCTCATGAGGGTAGCTTCTTGACCCAAGCTAAAGCTTAACATCGCTAGGGCTGACATTAGTTGAGCTCTTACAACATCCTGGGTGGCGAGATTGTCAGTCCCAGTCAGTGACCCTCCCTAGGAAGATGCCACCACAATCTCTTGCCTTTTGTAACCGGTATATGGCCACTGTCCAATGCTGACTGTGGCTGTGGAGCATTCAGTCTTATGGCCCTGTGCTCGCCTTCCGTCAGTCTGGAGCTTGCCGTTTTCTGACCTGTAGTTTTGGAGAGTCTCAGCCTGGAAAGTGTGACCGTACTGAAGCAGATGGCTGGCAGTAGTGAAACGTTTGGTGTGTGTTCCCGCTGTAGCAGATGAGACCAGTGCACGAGCCTGTCTGCCTTGACTCAGATCCCACACTAATTCTTAATATAATAATTTCTTGTTGTATCTCATAAGCAAACCTTGTACTGGGATATTATTGTTATTGTTCAGTTGTTCTTGCAATATGGTTAGCGAGTCAAGCTTTGTAAACCTTTATTTTGAGAGGTGAAGGCCGGGGAGGAAAGCACCCGTGCAATTGCAGACCGCTACTTGTACGTGCGCTCACTTTAAGATTAAGCAAGACATTTCCCCTCTAGCATTTATAGAGCAGTCTAGCTGTGGTGGTATTAATGAGGGAATATAGGTGGCAGGCGCTTCCCCGGAATGGCTCCAGAGCTTGTGTGTTTGTTTTTCGGAGCCAAAAAAGTCTAGGAGAACTTTATGAGAAGAAGCCCCAAGGTGGGGAAATACATTTTTAGCTCTGGGGTTATGATTTGTGTTAATTATTGGGTGTGGTGGGGATGGTGGGGTTCCCGGATTAGTATGTTTGCATAGCTGTGTTTTCTGAATGTGTCAAGGGGAACCAGGGTGAAGATTAAAAACTTCTTTTTTAGGGAATGTGGGTATAATTGAAAGCAAATAGACTCTTAATAGTCATCTTCAGGCGCAGTGAGCTGCTTTCTAAATATACTGATGATAACTGCAGAAAATATTCATAGAAACTGGTTTTACTCACAAGAAGTATTCATCCCTCTGCATAGGAAGAGAGAAAAGCACGTTGTCTTCTGCAGTGGTAGGTTGCTGTGAGAAATATAGGAGAAGCTGAACTCTGTTCCCTGCAGTGTAATTTGCAGTGCTTCTGTAGTTCAAATAGCGTAAAATGTGTGAGTGTTTGGAGTCGGCGCAGCCAGAGCTTGTCCACGACTGTCCCCCTGCCCCGGTGTCACGCTGCCTTTGGGCACAAGCTGACTTGCTCTGCTCTCCCCCCCCTCCCCATTGTAACTAGCAGAAAGAAAATCGCTCCACACAAGTGTGAGGCAAGAGAAAGGCATCACAGCTGATTTTTCAGGGTGATGATCTTTGTGCAGCCTCGCAGATGCCCCGATTGGTTATCGCAGCGTGTGCGAATGTTTAGCCTACTGTAGCTTTCTGGACGGCCAGGATGCTGAGACAAAATCCCTCGGGGCTATTTCTATGGGATTTATTGACTGCTCTGTTGTGCTGCTGACTGATTCCCGCACAGACTGAGATGCTGTTTTGTAGACATTGTACCCCGAGATGAATTTATTCGTTCACCCATTATGTGACCTGTGTATTGGATCAGATGCGTACAATGGACTCTGGTAGCAGGAGCTCGAGCCTTGACGAATTGAATGTCTATCTTCTGAGGTTCATGACAGCAGCTTGCTCGCTACCCACTCTGTTAAAAGGATTACCTAACCATTGCACAATCACTATGGAGACCAGATGGTCTTTTTGCCTGTTTCTTTAGACAAATTGGGTTCAGTGTTCCCTTATGAATAGATATAAACCCTTCAAAGCCCCCTTGTTGAACGTAGTTTCTGCTCCCAGATGAAGAATTCTGAATGTAAACTCATTGCTTGTTTGTGGTCTGCGCCTCCTGGATCAAGGAAGGCAGTTTTGCTGGCGGTTCGCAATTTGTTCAGCAGCTTAGAGCTTAGGAAGCTTGTGTGTTGTCTTCTGTTTACCTTGAATCAGAAGTCTTTTGTTCAATCCATGTTACATATGACGTTTTTAAAACTGTTGACACAAATGGGTGCATTTAGCAGCACAGGCAAATCAAACCTGCAAGGCAAGGGTGTCCTAAATAGCAACCTTCCAAATTGTTAGAGAGAATACAGAAATTAAACAGATTTGGGGTTTGGGGGTTTTTTTTGAGGGTGAGATGAAATTTCTGCAGCTTATCTGTTTTATCAAATAGCTTTGTGATAACAGCCATGAGTTTGTGTTTATAGGCCTGTAGCGTCTCTAGCATGATCCAAAAGGATATATCTCTAAGTATTTATTTGCTAACTTTTTTCTAGGCTTGCTGTTGAGACCATTTTTAGTTCTAATTTGCAACCTTTACCTTTGGTTTTGGTAAGGTTAGCAAAATACCTAGGTTACCAGTGAATTCCTTTAAATATCTTCAAGGTTCTTACACAGTAAAATGAGTCAAAAAAAGCAAAACTCTGTGTGTTCAGATCAGGTAGTTATCCAGCTGAAAATCATGAACAGTAGCCACTGAATTTATGTGGAAAATATTTTTTTGGTGGTAGTGTATTAAGAATGATTTCTAGTTAAAACATTTCTTGTAAAACTGAGCCTAAGATCTGGTACAGCTTCTTCTATTGAGTGTTTCAATCCCTAAACTGCTGGTGTATTTTGTGAGATTCAGCTTCTGTCCTTTTGTTTTGAGTAGCAGCCTTTGCGTGCCAAGTGAAGAGCTGCACGTTCAGATGATCAGAAAGAACTTGAGTCTTGTTACCTTTGGGTGTGTGCAGTGCTTGGTGCTGCTGTTTTCTTGGTTTACTGGCAGATTAACTTAAAATCAGAAAAAATAAACGGAAGAGGAAGGTTGCTGGGTAGTTGGTGGAGTGAATTGCGTGGTGGCCTTTCACTGCAAGGGTCACAGTTGGAATCCAGGCATGGGGAAGGATAAACAGATGCTGTGGGACATCACTCTGATCGGTTTGGTCCAAATTGTAATGGATCACTGCACAATCCTGCCATGTGTAATTGGTCTTCCAAAAATCAAACTGGAGTGGGCTCAAAGTTTGTCCAAACTTGTCAATGTGAGGGGAGAAGGACAGAATTAGAAACTACACTACTTACCCAAAAAGTGACTGTATTAATTCAATGTCCATTGTTAAAGTATGTTTATAAAAAAGTATGTCTAAAGTCCAGGAATCCCCGTAACCAGACCTCTCTTCTCCATTTGTAACTTCTGTCTAATTTTTTTTTGTATTCATTTTGCTTACAGCTGGAGTACAGTGTAAATTCTATTTGACTGAGAGCCCTTTTTGTCTTTTTGCTTTTTTTCCCAGGAAGGCTGCGTGCAACTCCATCCTGGTTTAGGCAAGTGTAGCAGCTGGCCACGAAGACAATGCAGAGCATGTTAACTGCTAACTGTACCCGTGTTTGAGTGATCCTACAGGTATGCTCTTTGTTTTATACTATGCTTGTCATCTAAAAGTGCTGAGAGCTAGACGTAGAGATGTTAAAATATATACAAAGTCTAGAAGATAAGATTCTGTTTTCACAGTGGCTTATTTTGACAAAATTTTAATGAGGCTACAACGTACTCTCCTAAGAGTGATAGTCTGAGATCCAACATGCAAAGAAGCACAATGCCGATGGAAAAAGTGCTTTGATGTTGTTTCTGTAAATTACAAACAGTGGAGATTCACTCCAAGTAACAAAAAGAACAGGTCTATCTTTTTTACTTTGGGGTACACTTTATGTAGATCTAAAATCTTCAGTCATCTCACTGGGGCAATTTGACAGCTCTAGTGTGTGCTGTTCCCTGTGAATTCAGTAAAAAGCTGAAGAGCATTTTACTAAGTGAACTATCTAACTGCACCATGCTGAATGAACATAATGCAGTTCTGTGCTGTAATGGAAGATGAGGCTGTTCACTAACCAAGTTATTTTTCATGTGCTTTTTTTTTGGTGTGGGTTTGTTTTCTGTTTTTTTTTTTTTTTTCTCCTTTCTCCTGGATTGACTCCATTTAAACACAAAGTTGGGGTTTGCTGAACAGTTTATGGAGGCAACACTTGGTTCCACCGAAACCAGTCAAGCTGGAACTGCAGTGGGCTTGTCTCCTGGCAGAAGGGATTTCTCTGAAAGTACAGTTCACTTTACATCTAACTTATGATTATCTTACTGTCTCCCTTTCATTATACCATTGTTCTTGGGAGCCAGAGATTTTGTAAGTTATAAGAAAAGGATGTTGCCAAGGGTGTGGGTGGAGAAAGGTGTTGACATGATTTCAATGGAGCTAGATTCCAGCTTAATAACAGAGGGGTAACGAACCATACAGAGAAAAGGCTTTCCTAGCCTGCCCCTAAAATAGGTTCAGTTATGAATTTAATGTTGTAAATGGCTATTTAATGGCTTTTTTTGAAACAATTGTTTCATATCATTTTTTTAAAAAGGCACTTTCCTGTGTTAGAGGGTAAAAACGGTCTGTTGCTTTTTGCTCTGTCTTCTAGCCATTGTTTCTAATGAAACTCTTCTTAATTTAGTGGAAAATGGGGAATTCAGAAAGCCAGTACAGTCTTCAGGGATCAAAAAATCATGCTGCTGCTGCAGCTGGTGCCAAGCAGAAGCCTTGCTCTCTGAAAATTCGCAGCATTCATGCTAAAGATGAGAAGTCTTGCTCTATGCTTGGATGGGGACATACCAGTAGCGGCTCAAACTACAAATCGAGGTCCCTCGCCAGAAGCTGCCTTTCACACTTCAAGAGTAGTCAGCCTTATTCATCTAGACTTGGTGACACTGTGGTGAAGGTCTCTAAAAGCAATGCCCATGCCAAACACAGGACAAACGCCTCAGGGGACTACTGCCAAGGAAATAACATGGTGTTTTTGCCCGAGAACGGTTTCCACTATATTGGCCTTCAAGCTGGAAGTAATCACGCTGCCTCTCGAGAATGCAATGGACACATTTTAAATTGCTACGGAAAGAATGAGAGTCTTGCATCAACCTCCCCATCACAGGACAGGAGGAGTCCGAAAGTTCTCATTAAAACACTGGGGAAGCTGGATGGTTGCTTGAGGGTCGAGTTCCACAACAGCAGCAACAGCAAGGTGCCGACTGAGGAGTCCAGTGGACCGGTCCAGTTGCTGAGGTATTCGCCTGCCTTGGAATCTAAGCCGAATAACCTACTCGACGTCAGGAGGAACTCCAGCGCAGACTGTTCTTCAAGCCATCGTCTGTCACCTACTGATTCAAGGCTTCGATCTAGTAAAGGAAGCTCCCTCAGCTCCGAGTCTTCATGGTATGACTCTCTCTGGGGAAATGCTGGGGATATCAATGAGTTGGATGGTCCGTATTTGACCAGGAGCACTCCAGATACAAGCATTCATGCCAGTTTCCCAGCAAGTGACAACAAGAAGTCCTTCAACCAAAGTTCATCTCTTTCCTCGCTCCGAGATCTCTATAAGGATACAAATTTGGAAAGCACCCCTCCACCTAGGATCAGGCTGTCTGATGAGTATATTGACGCTCATGGTAGCCTAAGCAACCGTGTCTCATTTGCCTCAGACATTGATGTTCCCTCCAGGGTAGAGCAGGGAAGTCCTGCACATTACTCTTCCTACACACTCCCATGCAGAAAGTCCAAGCCCCTCAGTGAGGATGCATCCAAGAAGGATACATTAAAAAGCCGAATGCGACGCATCAGTGACTGGACGGGAAGTCTCTCGAGGAAGAAAAGGAAGCTGCAGGTTTGTACAAACCCCAGCCTAAGTGCCTGAAAGTTGGTTTGTAGATTCCTCTTATAAATGTAGCGATTGCATCATGTTTGTCTTTCTCACAGGATAATTACTTGCTAATCTCGTTTGGTAATTTGTGGAATTCTGAGAAGTATTGCATCCCTGGAGCTGTCTGAAATGTCAACAGCAAAAAAAAAAAAAAGATATAAGTTTGTGTGTGCAAATTTTCCCTTCCTATTTCTTCAGCTTCTTAGCTAACTCCAATCTCTGCAGCCTAATCTCTCAGTGAATTAACTTTTGAAATCATTGCATTACTTAGAAAGTAACTTGGAGCTTTTAAGCCTTCTCTTTATTTCAACTATGAAAATATAATCTAGATATAGGTATGCTATGAATCAGCATACATTATCTAAAGAGGGCAGAAGGAGCAGTAGAAGAAAGATGTTAAAATATCTTTGCAGGTATTCCCTATTGTATTACTGGCTTCATCACTCAGTGTGGTTTCACTCTTGGGCCATCTCTAGCAAGGTGAGCAACTGTAAAGTGTCGACCTGCACTGCTGGTTGTGCCTCCACCTCCAATGAAGGCATTACATGGAGCACCCTCCTCCTTCCTGCACGTCAGCTTAGTTCACCAGATGGAAAAGCTTGAGTTGCCATCTGGCTCGCCGGGAGATGGTGGTGTGAAGAAGGAGATGGGAGGAGGGCAAGAGGGGGGGAAAGGATGTTTCTTTAGAAGAGTTTAGGCTAATCCCATTAATAGGAATATAGGATGCCTGTGGTCAGGAATGAAATTCTCATCTCTAGCTGCAGGCCCCAGAATCAGCTCTTTAAACGCCAGATTGTGCCTGGACTTCTGCGCGTGAGTTTGCAAACTGAGGTGGAGGGCAGAGACTGGTTTTGGTTTGGAGTTTGTGGTTTTCTTTTTTTTTTTTTTTTTTTTTTTAAAATCTTGCCTAGTGTTTCTCATAGAGGAACTGTCACTGTGCTTCTCTAAATGAGGCATCTGCTCCCTTTCAGCAACACTGGGGTGCTGGTCACTTCAGAAGTGACCCCATAACACACACTTTCTGTGGCATGTAGAGCAAACGCTGTCTCTCGTGTTGGAAATTCAGACAGGTATCATGCTTAACAGGCATCTGTCATTGCAATGTAGAACTCTGACGGACCCTTAGGTTCCGAAGTGAGGTCAGCATAAGCTTTGCCAGCATAAATCCTAGGTAAGGGCTACAAAATGGAAAAAATGAAAATGAAAGCTGTTTCTTTCAATCACTTCTTTTGTGAGTTGGTGCTCATGTATTTTATCAGATGCTGTCTTTTCACCCTCTTACTCAGCTGTGAAAGAGAAGGCAGAAAAACCGGAATCAGTGAAGAGCCTCAGCACCTTGTGTCTTCACTGGTTTCAACATCCCTAGCTGTTCTGGATTTTACAGCCAGGCTTTACATAAAATCTCCGCATCCCAGACCTTTGCCATGTATTACTTAGTTATGACATTTTCAGAATGGTATTTGTGGTGTACGATTCATAGCTGTTTTGAATTCAGTGCGCAGCAAACTGACTTCAGACACAGCAAGAAAATTTAGCTGGCAAGATTGCATCAAGCTTGAATCTGATTCTGGTAGAAGGAAATTGGCCCGAGCTCCAAAAATGGTGATTTCTTAGAAAAAGACATAGGAAATAGTTAGTCATTGATTTTTATCAGACAGGATACTCCCAGCGACAGGAATGATAAGAAAGGTAGCGAATGCTTTATGATTTTGCCCTCCTCGTGAGGCTTGGTCAGCTCCTTTCCACCTGGCACGCTTTGAGTAACCTGCTGTCTCTTCTGGGGGTTGCCGTGTTGTAGTTTGGTAACAATTATACTCTCACTGGGTCCTGCAGCTTAAAAATGCAGAAAATGCCGTGTGTGGTTATATCTGTCAGATGGTTAGTCCTCGTTTGTAGGACTCTTCATCACGGCAACTGTAGCCCCCGTGCTTTGCTCTGAACAATGTGTCCCTTCCGCAGTACATTGCTAATAACTGATTGTGAGTCACTTGGGCTGAACGTAGGGGAAAGCTGGAATATTTCCAGCCTAAGGGCTGGTGCTGGCTGGGTGGATAGGTCCCTCCGGCTGCCCCAGTGGAAACAAGTCAGCCAAGCCTCCTGCTTCATGGGGCGCAGGACCAGGAGGCACAGTCTTGGGGTCTTGAGGCCAGTCCCCTGCCACTAGAAAGGCAGTGGGGTTTAATCCCCTTCGTGAGAAAATTGCAGCTTAAAATCAGGTGGGCTTTCCCCAGCTTGAAGGCTGTTTCCAAACCCTCTTACTCTGACACTTGCTAATTTGCAGAGTAAATGTAGTCCCGGCCAGTTTGTTCTGATGCCAGTACTGTCCATTACATTAGTTATCCTTCCCTATTATTCAATCTGTTACGATTTATTCAAAGGGTATCTTTTCTTGGCCCACATTTATGGGGCTATGCAGACTCTCTTTGGTCTCCTGTCTTAATATAGGAAGTCTATTTCCTTTTCATTTTGGCACCTTTCCTCTGCACCTGTTTTAAATCATCTGTAAACAGATTTGGATATAGGATATTCCAGAGGAGCCCTCAGCTGTGCCCTGTCCAGTGACTTGGATGTTTCCTGATGTCTTACTTGATCCAATATATCCTGGAATTGCGTTTGCCTTTCTAATAATGATCTCATGTCAAGACTTGCAGTCATTCTGTGCTGTGACCCAGCTTTCGTTGCTCAAGGGTGTCCTAATGCATTCCCTCGATGCATCACTGGCACTCTCCTGCATGGCATGTCCTCATTTAGTTAAATCCTTGCTGAAATGGCATTGGGGAGATGCTCTATCACAATACACTGTGTGTGAGCAGCAAGATATATGTGATGCACGGGAGACCTGTGGACAGAATTCAGGCAGACCTGTTGCACAGTCAGCCACTGCTAAGGGTGGTGGTGTGGTGGTGTAAACTCAGTATGCAACTGTATAACATGGAGAGAATGAGCAAACACTGTGTAAAACGAAAATCCAGCCACCAGAAACAACTGCTGCAGATAGGTTCTGCAATGAAGTAAATAGACTCTTATGGGAATAATTTCTGAAATTTCCTGAGTTTATAATCCTGAAGAGAGGTGTAAAGAGAATTTAAAAGAAAAGTGCATTGAGACAACTTCTTTATTTGGATTGAAAACTGGTGTTAGGTTCCACTTTCAGCTTGGGTCCTAATGAATTTAGCAGGCTGCGTTGTTTCCTGCGCTGTTCTTTACAGCTAATTATTACATGCGTCTCTTTGTCTAATTGGTATCTTAGCCACTTTATCTTTTGTATTATCTGTAACTATTCTGAGGTATATCTTAGACATGGAGAGATCTACTTGAATGCAGCTGAGCAGAAACAGTGGTAGTTTTCTATCATCACTAGATGCAGCAGAGGGAAAATGAGCAGAAAGTTGCCTGGCAGGGAAACCACCAGCAGCAGCTGTTTGGGTCAGAACTTTTCACTGGTGACCAGATACTACTACAGTGACAGCCTCTTGGGGGACCAGCAGAGACTGCGTGACTCTGCCAATTCTGTTGTTTAAAAAAAAAAACCAAACAAGTGATGTTATCATGGTGAAGTGTTTATATTTATTTTGGATGCTGTGTCCATTTACTTCTATTTCCTCATTTCTACCCTTTCTGTGTTCATGGAAAAAACATAGGATGTGGTTAGTGGCTCTACATGAACAGGTTGTATCCTGCTCTTTTCATTAATGCTTGTTGTTCCAGTAGTGGCCCTTCACAGCAGACACTTTCTTATGTATGTGTCTCTTGTTTTTCTTATTAGTGCGTTGGGGCTGAAAAAAATACATATTCTTAATAAACTGTATGTTAATGTTTTCCAGAGGCCATTGGCAGCTCCTTGAGAATAGTCAAACAATTAACATAGAGGATTTTGGCTCATGTCTAGGGTGACAGTAATTAAAAAGAGGGTGGAGAAAGCTTCCAGTTTCCCACCGAACTGCAGATGGCCAGAGCAGTTGTATGATCCACATCATAGAGTCACTTTATGGGCATAAACGCGTTACCTGCATGATATTTTTTCCACCCCTCCTTTCTCTCCCTTTACCATATAAAAAGCAAAACTGTTGATATTTAGAGAGTTATTCTCGGAGAATGCCAATTAACACTCTGCAATAAGATTTGAGGACAGTGCTCCATTACCAGGAGAATTGGATCCTTGTTGCCAGACACAGTGATCTGAAAAGCCAGACTTGAACTTCCACGTACTGTAAGGGAACATGGGTTTCAGCTGAAGCTGGCTTTTGTGAGGCTACGAGCGGCAGTGTCCTGCTGCTTCAGAAGTGGCTTGTCTGGCGACGCTCGGGAGGGCGTGCAATCCCACTGTTGCTCTTGGCTGCGCGCTGGAGGTCCTGATGCTATCAAAACACGGCACAGCTTTTCCGCTGCAGTTTTGAAGAGCATCAAGTAAGAAGCGAAGGAACAAAAAAGTAGTTGCTTTCAAAGCTGCTGGCGAGAGCAGCTCACAGGAGACCAAGGTTTATTTACTTTATTCATGTACAGAAGTCTGTGAGCAAATAAATGATTTTAGAGAGGCAGTCTAAACTTGAAAGTATAATAGTTTTATTATTACTGAGGGTAATACCTTCACTTCTTGAATTGTTTATAGCCATGTCTTTTTTTTCTCTTCCCTCACACTTTTACTGCACAAGGCAGCATGTTTTTTGTGTTGTATGTTCTTAAATCTTGGTTGCTTTAAAATAGCATCAGCAACACTTGATTTGGGAAGACGGTAAATGGCTTCTTACGATGGATGGTGTGGTTCTCAACTGTGAAGTTAGTCCAAGGAGCCCTGTCTTGGGTAGTATGAAAAACCCTGTCCAGCACTGGAGCCTGGGAGAGTTGGAAGCAGTAATCTGGGAAAGTCTTAAGAAAGAAAAGGCCCAATCTGCCAGCAAGGTCCCACGTTCACAAGCAGTGGGAAGAAATGGGCCTATTTTAGCATCCATATCACAAGGCAAAGTTCAAGTCCTACCATCAAGCCTGAGGATTTCAAATAAAATTGGCCAGTCATCTCAATACAAGGGATGAAGTTGCACAATGCAATTAGGAAAAAGGCCTGTTGGTGCTTGATGAGATAGTCAAGCTCCCACGGGGTTTCCAACAAGTCAGAAAATAGACACCTCTGCAGTCTGGAGACTGGATTCGTGCCAGTCAGCAAGTGCATCTTTCTTTTTTAAAATCACATCTTCTGTTAGATTAGATTTTTGTCAACTGGTCGATACTAACAAGCTTAAAATATTCTCAACTTTTGACCTTTTTTGTCTTGATTAAGCACAGTTTATATGACAAATAGAAAGTGGGGGTAAAATCAGCCTAGCTGTGCTGATGCTAAATGTAGCTGCCTTGCACAAATGGAGTGTCACCGAAGTATTGAAACCCCTGTAATAATAAAGAAACTTGTGATGCTCTTCCCGCTTGTACTCAAGCAGGCATGTAAGTGGTGGTGCTGGGTTTCAGCTGGAGGATGTGGTTGTCTCCTGGAGTCCCTCAGGTTTCAGCCAGTAGAAGCTCCAGTCATTACTAGTGAATATGGAGATTGCTCACAGGTGTCTGAGTTGCCAAAGCTCGCAGACATAGTGGTTAGTGTTTAATGGGGTTCTGCTGAGAAAACCATGAGTGGTGACACCGATGGTGTCGGTGGCTGCTGAGGTAAAGCCTGTGATGTAATGGTGACAAGAGCGGCCCTTGATGAAGGAGCTGATTGTGGCTAAGCGTTAAACAAATTTAAATGCCAAATGAGGTGTGTCTTTTCATCGTAGGCAATTTCCTTTTTTGCACAGGAGCCAAAGTGTAAAGATGGGAGCGAATACTTTGACAGCAGAATGGACAACTTCACGACGGACACGCTGGCACCGTCACAGCTCTCCACTTTGCTGTGGTCACCTGGCTCCAGCCACGTCCTGTCCCAGAGAAGTGAGTCCACCAACGCTGTCAGCAGCGATGCCCTGAGGCAGAACATTTATGAAAACTTCATGCGAGAGCTGGAGATGAGCAGGACGAACCTGGAGAACACCGAGACCTCGTCAGAAATGGATGACTCCAGTGGCGAGTCCCTCAGCTCCTTGGAGCAGCTGGATTTGTTGTATGAGAAAGAGCAAGGAGTGGTGCGCAAGGCAGGGTGGCTGTTCTTCAAACCCCTGGTGACCCTGCAGAAGGAGAAGAAGCTGGAGCTGGTCACACGGCGAAAGTGGAAGCAGTACTGGGTCACGCTCAAAGGTAAATCACTGCATTGCTCCTTCGGCTTGGCAGCAGCAGTTGTTTCCATTGAGTCTCAGCATTGAGTCTCTTTTCATGCATGCTGGTTTCTCTAAGTAGGTTCAGGGGATCAGAAATTCATAGAATCATAGAATAGTTTGGGTTGGAAGGGACCTTAAAGATCATCTAGTTCCACCCCCCCTGCCATGGGCAGGGACACCGTACACTAGACCACGTTGCCCAAAGCCCCATCCAGCCTGGCCTTGAACACTTCATGCCTAACTTTACACAGTTTACCCACACACTTAAAGTGGAGAATGTGCCCACTAAATCCGAGGTGGTGCTCAGGTGTTTGGTATTGCATATGCAGCCTTGCATTTCATACCGTAGCAGGAATTGTTTTGTCTGACTTCCCAGTTTCTGTACTCACAGAGTTGGGGGTTTAGAAGATGCTTTAGGGTGTTTGGAGGTCAAAGACCAAATTGAACCAAAACTGAGAAAAATACGGAAGTTACACCTCCATAGCAGAGGAATTCAAAATTTAAGGATCAGGAGAAGTCCCCAGTGCCCGATTTCCTGTCACAGACACGCAGTTCCTTGGTCTCTGCTCTGAAGTTTACTTAAAGTTGGGGTAAGTTAATGTAAAAATATTCAGTTAATTTCTAGTGCTTCAGGTGGCAACATAACAAAGAGGTGAACTCCTCGTGCTAGAGCATTTACACAAAAAAGTGGGGGATTCAGGGCATAGGAGGCCAAAGCAGCAGCAGAAGCAGCCCTGCAGCCCGAGGCTTAGCTGCCATGGACCACTCCCCTGGCTCGCTAGTTTCCCTCCTTTCCTTGGATGGTCTTTCACCTCGTCCGCTCCCCACAGTACCAACCCCTTCTGGCTTTCGGCATGCCCACCTTCCCATCTCCCCCAGCTGCTCCTGCTGTGAAAGAGCCCCATGGGAAGGCAATCCACTCACAAGGGGATGCTGCTGGTGGGGTGCAGGGTGATTGCTGTGCTCAGCGCTCGCGCTGCATGTTGATGGCTCAGAGTAATAGAGCAGGTAGGTGTGCCGCAGGGAGTCTGCGGGTGTCAGGAAGTGTGAGAAGGAAAATAACATCTATTGTGGGGAGGAAAGGGAATGTAATGGGTGAGTTCATAGGGGTTTTTTGTTTGGTTTTTTTTAAATTGTATCCAAAAGATTTGCCTTTTAGTAAATATAATGCTAAGTTAATGAGTAAGGAAATGATCAAACTTAATAATTTCCTAGCATATCTGAGACTGGAGGAGAGAAAATAACAACTTTCCCACATGTTGCCCTTTTCAAAATTCTGCATGGGTGTAGACCTGAAGAAAAAGAAACAGCGAACACCAAGTGCTGGGAATGTTGTCCTTGATAGTGATGATTTAAAAGAAGCAAACTCACAAGAATGTAGCAATTCTGCCTAATAATTCAGAGACCTGTTATCAAGGAGTCAAAATGTAGGCAGTCTTAACAGTTTAAATCACTTATCCTGATCATCAGATAACATGATTCATGCTTGCAAGCAGTGTATACAAAGGGAAAAACAATATCAGAATGCCACCCTCTTATTTTATGTGTTTGCGTTATGGAGTACGAATATGAGTTTGATCTGCCTCTTCTAAAATTCAAGTAGTTTCTAATCAACCCTATGAAAACTCTAACCTGAAGTACATTATATAGTAGTACTTCATGCATTTCTGGGATAATGAAGCTCTGGGAAAGCATTTAGGTGCTTCGTGTTCGGTTCTGTGCTATAAAATTGGTTTATTGCTGACTTTGAACAAGTCAACTCTCTTCTTGCTACCTGAATTTCCCCAGCTATTAAAAAGGAATAACAAAATTCTTTGTAAAAGGCTTTTTTAACTTCTGACATTATAGGAAGTATTAGAAACACTTCTTACTCTGGATGGGTGATATGGCTGCATTCATGGTGCAGAATCTCTTCCGCTTTGTTAGCTGTTTTAAATATACATTCCTCATTTCCTTGATCTCGTACCTTTATTGTGCTGTGGAGACTTTTGAAGCCAAAATAAACTTGCCTGTCTGGATATCAAGGCGTAGTTCTGTTTTCACAATATGCTATATCAAGATCAAGGCACTTGCTTTGGTTCTCCTTATACAGGATTTTGAATAAATCTGTATTTAATTTGTTCGTGAAGTTTAAATAGCCAAGATATTTTAAAATATGACTTAAAATAGCCACATATGCAAATGGAGAACAGCATGTTTCTTTGCACTCTGTTGAGATGTGTTTAATTATAAATATGCAGAAGGCTTATAACCATCTGGTTACCTGCCAGACTTCAAAGTATGTATGTCCTGAGGCCTCTGCTCTGCTTTCAGGGCCACCAAGACCTGAGCTTGAACAGTAACCCTTTAACAAGAGAAACTCACTTTTCCATCTGTCCTGTCTAATTATTTTATTTTAACGAAGGAAATTGTTTTCCCATTGCCCTCCCCCTCCAGTTGAAATTTTGATTAAAATGCTTGGACGATGATCAGTCCCAGTGGATCTGTCAGAGTTTATGAAACTAGCCGCTTCCAGGGATCACTTGGCTTGACCTGAAGATATACCTGGGGTGCCATACATCTAAACACACACGCCTGCCCTTCAAAATATTTTATTTATGGACCTCTAAGCTGTCAGGATAAAAAACCAATGTATTTTTAGCTATCTTTTTGATAAAGCATAGGGGAAATATGGGAGTTTAAAATGGAACTTAATTCGCACTTTCCTAAAATGCAGAAGTGGAAGTGGTTGTACAGTCCTACTGCTGAACACAAGAAAGGACTTGGTTTTGTTGGTTTAGTATGCCCTGACATGCAGAGCATAACAAACCATGTTCTTCTTTTCCAACTGAAAGCTGAGAGAGCTCCAAGGGTTTCTGTGTCATAAAGAAAATCAAGTGAGGGCTGCTAAGGGGAAAGGATAGGACCAACTCTGTAGGGTTTGCTCTTACTCTAAATATTCTGCCAGAGACTCTGGACAGTAATAAGAAAAGGTGCACTAAAGTAGTATATAGGCATTTCTATTTATTGGATTCCTTCCTTTGGAAACTTTTCAGTCATCAGATGACTTGGTCAGTAACCTCTGATAAATATTTCCCTTTTTCGTCTAAGTGTTGTACATTCACTGGCACTGGAGAATGTGATGAAATCCATCTGATAGATCTCACTTTTCATACACTTTAGATTTGGGCTGTATGAGGATCAGTGTATTCCACCATTTTTCACAGCAAATGTGCCCTGTAGACCCTAATAGGCCCATCTTTCCCCTTTACCAGACAGAAGAATCCAAAAAAACCTTGGTTTTGGTTCTGATTTCCCATTTGACCTTTGAGGAAGCTCACCTCAAATTTACATGACTTTGGATGATGTGTCTGGGATTTTTAATACAGAGTTAAGTGTAAATGTTAGAGAAGTGCTAAAATAAGTTTGAACTCTGTTTTTACCTAACTACTGTTAAAGCATCCACAAAAGAAGCATAGTTAGTTTGAAGGTTTTGCAACATCCCCTTTATACATACTTCCTAGGCATATTTGCATGTGCATATGTACACAGAGTGTATCACACAGAGAAACACTGACAGCCTGAAAATCAGCAAGTCAACCCAAAACTTCAGTTTTGGTGCTGTCCTGTGTTGTGGTGCCTCTTTGATTTGAAGGAAAAACAAGAAAAAATGGACTATAGAGATAACAATGCTGTAGCCCTAGCAAACTTAATCCTTATATTGGCTGAGTTTCAAGTCCTCTACTGAATATGTATAGGGATTACAGCAGTAATATATTCAGGGATTACTGCGCCCTAAGGGACCACTGTGATCATTTAGCCTGACTCACTATGTAATACGGCCGTAGGTCTTCTCTAAATTAATTCCTGAATAAATTTGAGCATATCTTTTTGAGAAGACTCGCCTTGCTGCAGAATCCACCACCAGCCTCAGATTTTTCTAACTGCTTAGGTTATTCTCAGTTTTCAGAGTGTATTTGTAGTTTCTGATCTTAGTTCTTCCAGGATAAACATTCATCCATAGTTTAGTATTAATTTATCTTCCAAATTAAAAAAAAACAAACAAAAAAACCCCAACCAACCACACACAACTCATTATTAAACTGCTATTTCCCAGGGATTAATTTTTCTCTGTTATTTTCTCTCAATGCGCAACTAGCCTAAGAAATTCTTGAGAAAGACAGGATAGTTTTTAACTAGATTATTTGAGTAATGCAGTTCAGTCTGTCACCCCTTAGACAGGCAAATCAGTGCATTTCAGAGGACAGTGGATTATAATGTGGGGTGGGGATGGAGGGGTCAGGCCCTTCTTAAGCCAGCTTCACTGCCCAAGGCAACATGGCAATGTAGTCGTCCTGCTGGGGAATGGGATCAAGTCTCTTCTGCTGTCATCCAGAAGTAATTCTTGTTATACTCAGGACTGTCATCATCAAGGATAAAGTTTGCTTTCTGGATGCAAGTCTTGTACCTTACATGTTATACTATTTATGAGACTGAACATGCTCAGACTCAACCCCTTTAAACCATTTTAAATTATTCAGATTGTGTTCATTGTCCAAGCCCACAATTTGCAGATAGATTCAAGGAAATCCAGTTTAAATTTGAGAAGTTTATTCACAAAGCATGTTGTTTGAAGACAAAAGTTTCTGCAAATCTTTTCAACAAATACAAAGATTTCTTAAGTGGCTGTTATGAGAGAGTTGGTTCAATTTAATAAAGAAACACAAAAGCTGATTTAACTAAGCAGGTATTAATCTTTTCCACATGCTTTAACATTTTAATAGGCTGACTTTATTCATAGAATTGCAGAATAGTTTGAGTTGGAAAGGACCTTTTAAAGATCATCTAATCTGATCCCCCTGCCATGGGCAGGAACACTTTCACTAGATCAGGTTTGCCTTGAACACTTCTCTGTTGAGGTTCCATGTTGTTGGTTTTTTTTCTTCAGTCTATGAGTGTTTTTTGTGTACCTATTAGATGTTTGTTGCAAGTTTTCATTAAATTCATCATTAACTTTTCCTGTTTTCCAGTTTAGAAGATACTTCTTTTTTCTCTATTTTTAAAGAGGACCAGAACTGATGTTCCCTGACGTTGAAGGGTATCTTAGTCACAAAAGCATTAATATACGAGAACTCAGACACGAGATCCAGAACTTACTTTCTCCTTATGTTTTTTGTCCCTCTGAACTGCAAAGGTTGTACTCTGCTGTTTTATGAGACCTATGGAAGGAACTCGATGGAGCAGAGCAGTTTACCTCGATACGCCCTCTTTGCAGAAGACAGTATAGTACAGTCTGTTCCAGAACATCCCAAGAAAGAAAATGTGTTCTGTCTCAGCAATTCTTTTGGAGATGTCTACCTATTTCAGGTAACAGTATGCATACATAACTGTGGTTGTTTCCATTTTAGGATGCATTTGTGAGTATGCACATGCATGTATATGATTGTATATACACATACTTACACACATCATGCTTGAGCCTTTGACTTAAAACCAATAATAGTTATACTATTATACTGTACTATTATAACTTGATTTAAATGTGTGGTATGACTTCAGGTATATTGATATCCATTGGCTCAGTTAGTTACGGATCAGAAATAAAAAGAACAGATTACAAATCCAAGACATTTTTGGTATCTAGTGGCTACAAGCTTCCAGAACATCAGCGTCGTTATAATTTTTTTTTTTTCATGTCTATTAACATTTCACCCTTACAGAATGATGGGCTCAGCCCTTAATCTGGTGGCCTCAAACAGAGTTTGCTTGAGCGAGACGTTCAAAAAAGAAGGCTAAAAATAATCTGAAGATCTTGGCTGGTTAACTGCATCACTGGAAATGTTAATAAAGAACAGTATTATGTGGAACTGCCTGCATAAAACCATGTTGATTCATAAGCACACTTGTAAATATCTCCAGAGACACTTTGTGCAGACGTATTCTCTTTACCTCGCTGTCCTCTCTCCACTAACTTGGCATATTTTAAGCAAGCACCTCTCCTCAGACCTTAGATGTAAAATCCTCTCTGTTGCTGTGTTACATGCAGAAGAGGAGGTTTATCTTTGAAACCTGTTGGGTTTTACCTTAATTAATTGGAGGGATGAAGGATTCAAGTCACATCTTTCCCAAAGCTCGTGGGGCTATGTCGTGCTTGTGAAGGCCTCAGACCTTGCAGATCTAGGAAGCGGAAGCTGAAGGTTGGAGGCAAGTCATGACAGAGTGCAGGAGAAGCTCGCAGTTCCTTTATTTTCACAGCTTTAAAGATAAAACCTTATTGTACTGGTTTTAAGATAAAGTGCCTAAGATCTTGGTGAAGCCATCAAGCACTTCAAGTCCTAGAGCTGCTGATTTTTAATTTTTTTTTTCCCTCTTGTCTGCTCATAATGTTGCACCATGATTTGTTTCACAGGCGACAAGCCAGACGGATCTGGAAAACTGGGTTACTGCCATACATTCAGCCTGTGCTTCCCTCTTTGCGAAGAAGCTTGGGAAAGAAGACACTGTTAGGCTGCTGAAAAATCAAACCAAGAGTCTCTTCCAGAAGATTGATATGGATAGCAAGATGAAAAAGATGGCAGAGTTGCAGCTCTCAATTGTTAGTGATCCAAAAAACAGGAAGGCAATAGAGAATCAGGTACTGGAAACAATATTTTTACAGGAGCATATTTATCATTATGTCTTGCTTTGGGCTCTAACTGTCAGTGCTTTCTAGGCCTGAGAGTAATTGTCTTGGGAATAGCTGGCACAGTAGTCGTAATTATTGCCAGGTTTCTACAGCAATCTAGAGCAGCGCGGGAGGTGGGCTCCTCAAAGCTGAGGATCAGACCAATCTGGTTTATGAGCACAAAGCTATTTCTCTTCTCTTCTGGAAAAACGTATTTAATTTTCACTGGTTTATGATATACTTGGCTGTTAATAATATCTAGCTGTTACATAGCAGTATCTCAGTATAATCCCAGGCCCATCGCTGGGTAGCTTGGGACAGCTGACATACTACAGACAAAATGTTTGCATCCAAACTTGTGTCTAGGCTAATTTTGTTTTGTTGCAGCAACAAATGAGTGAAGTCAACAGTTGGCCTTCCCCTGCAAATCTGAGTATGGCTTCTTAATGCCTGATGTGGTATTCTCAACACGTTTTCAAATTATGGTGATAAGAACACCTGAATCTTGGCTAATGCAGGAGCTTAGTGCTGAGGAAGATTCACCACTAAGATTTGTTTTTAAAACAAAAACAGGAACGACCCCCCCAAAATTTAGTGTTCATGGTGTGTACGTACCTTGGGATTTTAGCCAAGCCATGCCTAAGACAAAAGCTCAGGGCAGATTGATGAGCAGCTAAAACTGTTCCTCAATGAAAATGGTCACCTTATTGTCTGTACGGTGGTGCATAGACATCAAGCCTTACTCTGCTCTCACTTCCAGCATATGAACCAGGAATCACTCCAGTGACACCTTATGGAAGTACATCTAGAGGTGTTGCCATCTTCCCCATGTCCCCAGTTTTGCAGGTAGCAACTGGCAAAAGATGCTTTAGACATGTTTAGCGTTCAGGCAAAGGCTTCGTGACCCAGAGCTTCTCATATACTAAACTTGTCTAGTAATTTAGCCTAATAGGTCTGTGGACTGAGGTTGCTGTATCTTTTATTATTAGGCCATTAACAGAAGACATGTGATAATTTGGATTCATTGACTGGTATTTGAGAGCCCATCCCTACCTGCCTTTCCAGTCAGAGTAGCTATTGCTCTGTCATTACTTTAGGCTGCACGTTATTGCTTCTTGAGTAGCAACTGAAGTTTATTTCCTTTGATCCAGTACAGCATAATTATGTTTCTTTGGTTAGTGGAACACTTTTAGTTTCATAAATTTGATGCTTATAATAGTTAAATTCTTACTATACTGGTTTGAATTTGAAGGGCAAACTGACTGGTACTGAGTTCACTGTCAAGATCCTGTAATGCATTTCAGTCTGAAGCTGTGTGAGCAGAGTTCAATAAGTATGCAGGTTTGTGTAGGGATTTGTGGTGCAGATGTTTATAAGCCCTTTGAGTGCACAGATGTTCATAATTTATTTCCAGGTCACTTTATTTCATGGTCCAGAGCCTAGTGAGGTGAATGGAGGAGGAAAAACGTTAAGTATCCCTTTATTGTAGTAGGTCTTGAGACCTAGAAGAATATGCAGACTTCTAGAGATGTCTAGTACTTGTAACATGTGATTAACTGAGGATAAATCCTGATGTATATTAACTTAATTTACCCCTCCCCCCATTAGATACTGATGCTGCTAGCTTATCTAGAGTCAATTGAAGAGTATTAATGATGCTCTCTTAATATCTGCTAATTAGATGTTCTGTCCTTGAACAACTGCCATTGTTTTCCAGCTCAGTCCCTGGAAGAAGTTGGTTGTGTTCTACAAGAACAGAAATCCATCACTAGGGCTGCAGAAGATTTATTCCTGTTAATCATCTGTCTGTGAATGTCTCAAAACATTGAATGAGGGCAAACCAGTGAGACAAAGAGTGAGATGGATCATGTGCAAACATCCACTAGTTAGCAAACAATAAATTTGTAATGAGCCTTTTCTCCAGTCTTGATCCCTTTGATCTCTATAAAATCTCTCCTTACAACTGAAGGTTTGTTGGCAAAGTCGCTTTAGAGAAAAGTCAATAGATAACTGAGTTACCTAATCTTTTGATTTAATGTCTCAGAGATGGGCTTTTTCAAAAGAAAAAAAAATCTTGATGCAATTAGTAACCAAGAATTCTTAAGATACTTAGTAAGCTAACAATTTTGAAGAAAACATTATTCCTGAGGGAGAACTTTGCCTGTATGTAGCTCAGTTGTTTAGTAACTGTGGTTGTTTAGTTGTCTTTTGCCCATTTTGAGTAACAAGGAGAATATAAATTCTGGGTTTGGTTTTGTGTAAATTTGGTGGTGTTTTCAATCATGTGGCAGTTATGATTCCTCCATGCTGAAGTATATTGTATTGCCAATACTGTAGTTTATAAGCATGTGCTGGAAACGCTGGTGATATATTTTTGGGAAGTCAGCGGAAATAGTGTGATTGATTTCAGAGGGACCATAGTGCTTTTTTGTGTAGAAGGATGAAGCACAGTCTTAATTTCTTTCCACTGGGGAATTTTCCTGGAAACTGTGATTTCTAAATCCTTTCTCCTTTTCCTTCCTCTTCCTCAGAAAAGCAACCACCCAGCCTCAACTTTCTGTTTTACTTTCACATCTGTATTGATTTAAAAACAATACTTCTCTGCGGAAGACTTAGTAATTCACAGGGCCTTACAAGCAAGCAAAACCTTTTCTTCTTTCACAGTTACCATCACCTGAAAGACAGTTGCAGTAAAGGAACCTGGACTTCTAAAATTGCTATAGGTTTTTTAATGTACATACATGTTTCTTTTTGGTGTCCGGTAAATGGGCTGAAGAAGCTCATCTGATACCATCTTATACATTTAGTAGATTTGTAGGCTGGGAATTGATAAAGCTAGTGCTAAACAGAAGAAGTGCAAACAAAAAATGACAAGGAAAATGTTGGTTTTCTAGAGAAATTATTGTTTTAGAGACTTGATGCTATCAAACTGGTTGAGAAATATCTTCAGCCTTGTGGCCTAGATCAGGGATTCTCTCTATGTGGGCTTACTGGTCCAATAATAGACTTAGTAGCTGTTTTAGAGAAGGTGGCAGCCCTTCAGATAGCCATTGATATTGTTGGGCAGTTTAGAAGAGATCAGTGAAGCATCTGCGAGAGCAGCATACGTACAGCAACCAGTCCCAGTAGGCCACTGGAGGCATGGCTGGAAATCCCAGCTCTGCACATACTACCTACAGCCGTGTGTGTTTATATTACTGTATGCAGTAAATATGTTGTGGGTGGTGGTATTCCCCCAGGGTGTAACTTTTCCCCTAAACCAAAGAGAATTAGGATGAAAGGTAGCAAGTTTGAAAATCCCCTGGCACTGAGATGAATTCAAAGCCCATGGAGTCACAGCCTTTAAAAAATGTTCGTTTTCCTAGCTGTTTAACCTGCTAGAGAAATCACGGTGTTTGCTGCGAATATGGAGCCCTGTCTAACTGCTACTGAAGTTAGTGAAATGGATTATTAGCATTTATGTGGAGCTCTTTTAAACAAAATATTGCACATTAAGTTGAAAGTGAGGCTGTCTGTACTTGTGGAACTGTTTTAATGGTATGGAAAATCTACCTCACAGTGAGGGCACCGCAGCTCTGGGTGTATTTCTTATGTACTTGGTACATAAATCTATTGTGTTGTCTCATTTTAGAACAATAATATGGATAATAGTTTCTTGAAAGCATTCTGGGCTTTTCAAGTTTTAATATATTGGTATAATCATGTTTTCCAAGCTATTCAGAGGTTTCTGATGTGATTCATATTTTCTGTGCACATGATACTTAACTTACTTATCAGATGGGTTATGAACATAGGTATTTACTTACAGGCACTGAAATGATGAGGCATTAATGAGAAGAACAGGCACACACTTGGAGATGATTTTAATGGAAGTTTGTGTCCTCCAACTAAAAGTAGTTTGTCTGTTGCCATAAAAATCAAAATGAGGGGATCAGTAAGGTGGTATCCTGTTTACTCTGGGTAGTTATTAAATCCATTAGTACCTTTCTTCCCTTCCCTGTGGTGGTCTTTGGCTTTTTACACAGAGCATGACTTTATTACGTTTTTTGTTTAAAATGTACCTGACACTTTCTCTTTTCTCTTACATTTATAGGAAGGTGACTGGAATAGTTTGGGTGATCTTATTCTTCAGGCTCCCCAAAGCCCAAATTTCATGTCTTCATTTTCTTTAAACCGCCTGATGAAATATTGTCTGGCGTTCTGATGAAAACTCCAATAACAACACTCAAAGAGAATTCTTTCAGGGAACTTTGTGAGCACTGGCCAGTTTTGCTGCATACAAATTCAACGTGAATCACAAAAACCAGTTACTTTTCTTTCTTCCGTAGTTTCCTAAACTAGAAAAAAATCTTCAGTTTGGGTGGTCTTTGAACTGGCTAGACCAGAGCTCTGCTTCCTCAGAGATTCAGTACTATTTCTTTTCGTGTGTCACTTTCCAGTGTGGGATGGTCCTTGTCTACATCACTATCAAAATCCTTCTGGTTGTTTGGTAGTAGCCAGTCACTAAGGAATGAAGCGAGTTGGCAGCCAGGAAAGTTAAGGAAGGTCATCTCCATTCTCCTCATGGCTGTAATTGCTGTTTTGCAGATGGGTGAATTTCCGTCTTTGTTTCACAAAGATTGAGTACAAAATAATGAATGAACTGTTACTGAATGTGGAGTTGCATAGCGTTATCTCATATGATAAAGCTGGCAGGGGGAGCCTGTGCAGTGAGGGCTGGTCTTCTGGGTTTGGGGAGGGGCAGCTGGATAATAAGATTCAATCCCTTTCTTAATTACATCTCTAGCTATAGACATACATGTGGTACTGACAATTTCAATCAGAGTATTGACAAGAATGTAAATTAGGTACACGTGGGTGCACTTTTGTGCTATCACTGGTATAGGCAATAAGATTTCCTCTATTTCGGTTAGAAATGATGATTTCTGTCCTTCCAAAACAAGCAGAAAGATGGCATTTATTGTAAAAGATGTTGTTGTCTTGTTATTTCAGGAAGTTTTCCTAACTGTTTTTTAAGTTACTAGACAGAATGAAGAATAAAGGGTATTGCTAATTGTACATCATTGGTTTTGTACTCTATTATATTCCATTTTTTATTCCTTTGAGATAAAAGTTATGACAGTATCTTTGTAGTGTCCTTTAAAGTAATGGAATTTCTGGGAGAATTATGTTTTTGTGCTTGTTAGAGTTCTCTTTAGGAAGTAATGACAATAATAATCTTTTCCTTGTCCCCAGAAACCGAGTGACTCATATATCCAGATGGGTACAATATGAATTGTGTCTGAGAACCAGGGACTGGAATGCAAAGAGTTTGGTGTTGTTTGTAATGTGGTCGAAAAGCTGTTCATATAAAACAGCAGCAGAAGTTTCTTTTAAATCCACAGAGTTCCCTACATCAGCTTGCAGAGACGCTTTCCATCTGGCAAGATGATGTTGCGTAGGGGAAAATATGTGAATTTTTTACTGCTGTAGATAATGAATTGTATCAGCGAGGAGCTCATGTTTCTGTATGGCATAAGAACTGTTACTAAACCAAATCAGTTTTAGAGGCTTAAGCATGGAAAGAAGGCTGGCCTCCCTGTGCATCTTTTCTGTTGTGCTACCTTATGAAAGTGCCAAGTGGAAAACTGGTATTTTGTTATTAGTTGAGCTGCCCAGGAAGTTTCTTCCATCCTTCCTGTAGGTCCTTGAAGTATTGCTACTTCAGGTTGATACGGTATCATTTCTGGCACTGCTTTCCACCCTTCACATACTGGTTTAGTGTTTATAACACTGAGCTTTTCTTACTTTGTACAGAACAGGTATTTGAAAATGAGATAGTCCTTGCCCAGCCCCCCCCCAAAGACACTGTTTGTACCGTACTCTAAGAAGGGCGAGGAGCCAGGGACCATCCCTGAGCAACGCTACTGGCACTGTTTTTGCTGGGACTGTCGGGATCCTCCCTTTTACAGTCTGCAAACCCTAGGCATATTCTGGTGGAGGTGCCACTGGAAATGTCACTTGCAGAGAGGACTGCGTAGCATGTAGGAGCTGTGGATCTCCATGTCACCTGCTGGAAACCATTGGTCTGTATTGTCTGCCTGAATGTATTTGCTTCTTGCCTTTCCCAAGCTCCCACTTTAGAGTTTACCTATAGAAAACCTAGCAGGGTTATTGAATTGAGACCTGCTTTCGAGCATCTTCCTTTAGCTCATATATTTGTGTGATTTAAAATGTAATTAATTTACAATTGTTTCTTAGTGTCTGAATAGATTTTTCACTAACCTGGAGAATTGGCTATTTATGTTCTGAAAAATAATCATTACTGCTAAAGTACTGCCAAAAGTACTGCGCTGATGTTCTTTTGTATGTTAACTCTTAAAAACTCACTCCTGAACTAAGTCTTTCATGCAAAAGCTCATTCCTTCTCTTAGCATTCTGCACATAATTACTGTCTTATCCTTACACCAGGCTTCCTTGCATGAATTCTCCTGGTGGCCCAGGCTAAATAATTCGTGGCCCTAACTTTTAAGACTTCCCACATTTTGCTCCTTTCTATCTCTCTGCCACAGCCTCCTTTTTTCCTCTACCTTACAGGGATCCTATTAGGCTGAATACATTTATTTGGGTGGCCCCTCCTTGCCTTTCTTCCGGGTGCTCTTATACGACCACTAAACCCAGAAATCCTTGCCTAACGTTTGCCTGTACTGAGAATGCCATCCTCCCTTTCCTCTAGGAAAAGCCTTTGATGCTTTTCCTGGAACTTCACATGGAGGTTTGAAACAGTGACTGAGAGGATGGTTTTGGATGCCTCGGGTGATGGTGCAGGCAAGTGCAACAGCTGAGCAGGTCACATGAGGAGCTTTTCACGTGTGCTCGATTGTTTTGGCATGCCTCACATCAGGCCATATCTCCTAGCAGACTCGCTTCACGTTGCTGTTGG